TTTTAAAAAAATATTAAGATTCAAAATTTTAAGGTTGGTCTGATGATGGCATTATTGCCGAAAGCTCACCAATCATATAAGACCAAAAGCTTCAAGAACATAAAAACAATTTAAATTATTTTTTAAAAACTGATTTAGCAAATGAAATAAAATTTTAAATCGTAAAGTTCTTAACATGTTTTTTTCGTCAGCGGACTGCGTCAGTAGATGTCCTACCGTCAAACAACAGATCCTAGTTCATAACCACCGTGCCTAATATCTCGAAATTTCGCATGTTCTTTGGGGTTCTATTGGTCGCTTCCGGCCGGGGTTGACCTCTATTGAAGTTCTTGTTGGTTTTGTTAAGCTTTCACACGACATTGCAATTATTCAACGAATATCACGCGATTGAATTATGTCTGCAGTTGCAGAATTGCGGCTATTTGAAATGTTGAATAGTTGCTGCTTTTTGATTGTACTTTTTCAGAGGGAAATGAACAATGGGTTCACGTTTTCAGTGAATTCTGAACTCTTCCAAAGTTTCAATATTTTAACTTTTTCATGAGTTCTTTGATAAATGGACATTTTTTCGAGCGTGAATGATGCGTAAATGAGTCATATTTTATGTGTTGTTGAATGGTGCGATTCATCTTTCGGATGCTCTTTTTATTCTTTTCCTCTTTTGATTCTGTCCACTCAAATTACACGCGTGTCCAGGGATCATAATCCATTTTCGAGTCCGTTTCTCTGTTTACATTAGGCTCAACTCTGAATCTTCCCTTGTATAAACTCCCGCTTTCGAGAACTTTTTTCTCATAAAAGCGCAACTGCATATTTTCAATTGCTTGGGAAAAACACGTATTTTTCACACCTAAAGGGGCTCCTACGCAAGAGGAAGGGGGAGGGGGCATCGCGGTGCAACGTGTTCGAAAATGTACCTTTTGTTTGAGGAGTCTTCCAAAGTTACGAAGGCTGGCTAGTGGTTTCATTGCTTTTTACGTGGAACTTGAGTAAAAAACCTTTATTTTTTCACTCATTGACGTTTTCTGCTGAATGGCGCAAAGAAGCAGCGGTGAGCCAAGAGCACAGGACTCACAGAGGTAGGGGGCTTCGGGGTGAGTGAGCCAATTTCTCGTGCTCCTTAAAAATGTTCACCCACCTCGAAGCTCCTCCCTTTTTTCAAAATCCTCATCTTCTGACTCTCGGAAAAATTCTTTTATTGAAGTTGAAGGAGCCATTTGGCATCGCGATGGTTAGAGCCCATAGGACTAGGCGTAGGAAGAGGGAAGAGTTTTTTTTTCTAAACATCTTCAATTTATTTGATATCTCATTCAAAACTATGTGAATGTTACTTTTTCTGGGGAGTTACGATAAGAAATACTCTCCGCGTGTTTCAGTGCGTTGCAAAAATGCCCACAACCTCCTGTTTTGCGATAGCGCCGTTCGGATAATAATTTTTTTGTCCGCGCATTCCTTCTCAATTTTCGTGAAATTCAGGCGAAATTTTAGTTCTATGACCGGTCCAAACTCAACGCTAGTGTGCTTCTCTCGAAGGAAATCGTAGTAACGTTCTTGCTGTGTCATTCCACTTATTGGATCACCCTGATTTGACTGATTTGTTATGCTACATCACAAACCCTCTGCAGATCTTCTTTAAATTAAATTTGTTCGTAAAATTGGCATTAATCCAGAATTGCACCACATTCGGTTATGATAGCACCCTTGTCATGCGCGTTAAGTGTCGGCGATTCCATGACCGACTTTGTGTTTTCCAGCGCTAAGCCTGGTTGTAAAAGAGCGGACGTTGGACCTAATCGGCCTGATTATTCTCACTAGGAAATTCTACGTTTGCTCTTAGCCATTTTTTTAAGATTTACACCAAAGTTTATCTTCATAGTTCTTGTTGATCAGTTAAAGAGTGCTAGAGAAAGATGGGAGTGCCATGAATTCTGTACCTGTGTGATTTCCATAACGTAATATTGGGCACATATCGTTAAG